GCCGGCTGGTGTTGGCTCTGTCAGATATAGGGAAAGCTTCTAGCAGTTTCTAACAGAATCCACCCCTGTAGCCTACTTAGTCTGCTCCCAAAACCTTGACACTCAAGCCCAATACCGTGTGCAGCCCCCAACACATCCTTCTCCTATTTCAATGATTTCTGTATCCTTACTTTTCCAGACAACTACGTGGTGACAGACCATGGCTCCTGTGTTCGCTCGTGCAACACGGATACTTACGAAGTGGAAGAAAATGGCGTTCGGAAGTGCAAAAAGTGTGATGGACTATGCAGCAAAGGTATAAAAAGCATGGAATACACCAGTAAGGCTTTGAGATGACAGATAACTTATTAGAAAATACATACATGGAGTTCTGACCTTAAAAGTGCAAATTCAGTAATAAATATCCAGCGGTAGTTTGGAGGGCTGACAAGTGGCTTGATCAGGAAACGTTGCCGTGGAGCACGCTCTCCAACTGGGATACACCACAAGTACAGCAGATAAATGTGTGCATGTGTATCTTGCACATCAACCTTCTCCTTTCTCCTTCCCAGTAGCTCATCAAGGGGAATAAAATTAAATGGGTCAAACAGAAAGTGCATGTGCCAGAGCCCGTGTGCAGAGATGCTCAGACCAAAGCTGCAAAGCAGGGCAAGCGGGAAGCGTTTGTCCTGTGGTGCTTTCTGCAAAGCAAAAGTAGGCAAGAGATCTATGAAACTCACCTTAGAGTGATAGGTTTGACCATATGGGAGTGCTTTCTGGACTAATGGCATCTTCCTATTTATTCCCTTCCATGTGACTGGGCTTCACTCTTTTCCCCTCTAACTTTTGTATCTCTCTTTTAACAGTGTGCAATGGCATTGGAATAGGTGAACTTAAAGGGATCCTCTCCATAAATGCCACAAATATTGACTCCTTCAAAAACTGTACAAAGATCAATGGGGACGTCAGCATTCTGCCAGTTGCGTTTCTAGGGTGAGTTGCCTGCTGGTCATGTAGCACTGGAGGAGAAGGGCTAAGGAGAAATTCAGGCTGAGCGATTCTTTCCCACTTCCTCATTTTGTGTTTTTCAGTGATGCCTTCACGAAGACCCTACCCTTGGACCCCAAGAAGTTGGATGTCTTCAAAACAGTCAAAGAAATATCAGGTCAGCAGTGGGTTTTAAGCTGAGATGGTCTCTGATCAGTACTGCCAAAAATACGAAGGGAGAGGAGGGAAATTTCTTAAGTGCATGAAGAGAAGCACAAGCAAACGTTTTCCGTCTCCGAGCTACCAGGGGTCACTCTTCACAAAGGTGGTCAGCAGTGCCTCGGCAGCCTAACGCCCACGTAACCCACACTGGCCTTCCATCCAAGGTGTGTCGTTTGGCCAGAGCATCCCTTCTGCTGGCTGTCAGCCCTAGCAAAGAGTAAACGCAAAGGAGAACCTAAGCCACCCAAGAAGTATGTGGTGATGCAGAGGCGTGCCACTCCAGCTAAAAAAAGCCAAGTGTGTTTCTATTTGTGGAAAACCTTTCAGCAGCTCCTTAGGGAAGAGTGCTCAGAGGCTTGCGTCATCCTCGCAGAGACACCCTCTCCGGCCTGAAGAGCTCTTCCTTGCGGTGAATGTGTCTCCACGAGCACAAAGTGGCCAGCTGAGCCAAGTCTTGCACCAAGTGTCAATTAAAAGTAATTTTGTTAGGCTCATTTTAAAATGAGTGTGACATCAGAGCTGGGTCCACAGACGTGACTTCAGTTCCCCTTTTCTTTCTGTCTTTTGCCTGTCTGGTGCCCTTTAGGGTAGCAATGACTAACCTCAGAGCTTCGTACGGCAACCTGCAATTTCCCAAATTTGGCCCCTCTTTCCAAGTGCCTGGGCTGAACAGGGAAATCTGCTTGGCTTAGCAAATCCACTCTGAGCAGCTGTCTGTTCTGCTCCATTTCTGCTTTCTCTTCAGTTCTCCTTTTCCCTGAGGCCAGCTCACAAATAGGATGGAGCAAGCAGCCTCTCAGCCAGGGTATCTGCCGGCAAGAGCCATCATTACTGGTGGTGGCTAGACTAGACATCATAGAGTGTGCCTCACTGACACACTCCTCTCTTGAGCTCCTAAGCCCTCGTGGTGGGCTGAGAAGTAAACTGTTTAGAAAACAGGGTTTAAAAATATCTCCCTGCTCCATAAAATGTCATGATTCACTTTGAGATTTGCAGATAGGCATAGGGACAACACAAGCACCTTCTCCTGGCACAGGAGGAGCTCAAGGAGGAGGTTCTGCTGCCAGTACTGACCACGGGTTTATTATTATTATTATTTTTTAATCTTCTTTTCTTCATTTCAGGATTTTTGTTGATTCAGGCCTGGCCCGATAATGCTACTGATCTCTATGCTTTCGAAAATCTGGAGATTATACGAGGCAGAACCAAGCAACAGTAAGTAAATCGTGTGCCAGAGAGACTGTGAAAGAAACTCTGCTTAGAGCTGCACTTGTTGGAGCACACCAAGGTAACAAGACTCAGGTGTCCCAAAACTAATGGGAGAAACCCTGTGAGGAGTACAGCACCGTCTTTGCAGCAGTAGATACCAGATGTGGATAGTGCAGTTGTTTTGCAATAGGTGTGTCATGTACCAGCCGTTTAGAGGGCTGAGCAGCATCTTGCTTGAACAAAATTAGGTTCGCAGCAACACACATCTCAAAAACAAAGGAAAAGCTTGCTGAGTAAAACCCCACATTGTAATTCCCTTTCTTCCATGTGTTTTCTCTTTGTCCATCTCCATTTTAGTGGCCAGTATTCCCTTGCTGTTGTTAACCTGAAAATACAGTCCTTAGGGCTGCGCTCCCTCAAGGAAATAAGCGATGGAGATGTTGCCATTATGAAGAACAAGAACCTCTGCTACGCTGACACCATGGACTGGCACAGCCTGTTTGCAACTCAGAGCCAGAAAACAAAGATTATACAGAACAGAAATAAAAATGAGTGTGGTAAGTCAGTGCTGCCTTCCTGTTCCCCACAGAAGCTTGTACTGAATTGCAAGAGTAATTTGGGCAAGGCTTTTCTTCTCTCTGTTCCTCTGGCTGCAAAATTCATCAGTGCTACTGCTTTAATAAAAGCAGTGAGGGAAAAGTGGGTCGTTTTCCCACTGAGGATGTGGACTTCATGGTGTCCGGCAGGTGGGAAGGAGCTGCTTCACCGCTATGGGCATAGTGACGCCACGAAGGACACGGAAGCTAACTCCAAACATTAGACTTCTTTGACAAGGTCAGAGCTGTTGTTCAACATGCTGCAGTTGACTGCGGTAGTCCTGGGGCCAAAATCTAATTATTTCTCATTGCAGAATATTAATTTCTTGTATTTTGGAAAGTGATCATAGAATCACAGAATGGTTTGGGTTGGAAGGCACCTTAAAGACCATCCAGTTCCAACCCCCTGCCATGGGCAGGGATACCTTCCACTAGACCAGGTTGCTCCAAGCCTCATCCAACCTGGCCTTGAATACTTCCAGGGATGGGGCATCCACAGCTTCTCTGGGTAAACTTGTTCCAATGCCTCGCCACCCACTGTTACTATTTTTTCCTTATATCCAATCTAAATCTGCCCTCTTTCAGTTTAAAACTGTTGCCCTTGTTTTGTCCTTGAAACAGGTTGGAGAAGCTGGCTGGTCAGGATGGAGCCACTGCCAGTGCTGTGTTTGCCCTCTCTCCTACCTTGACGTTCATGTCTTTTCTTGTCTTTCTTTCCTTCCCAGCTGCTGCCAGGCATGTTTGTGACCCCCTGTGCTCAGATGTGGGCTGCTGGGGCCCAGGACCCTTCCACTGCTTCTCCTGCAGGTTTTTTGATCGCCAGAAGGAGTGTGTGAAACAGTGCAACATCCTGCAAGGGTAAGGTGTCTGCCACATGCTTGAGGTTTTGGCAGTGATTTGGGGGTTTTGGGTTTTAGAACGTGTTGTAGCTGAGATGAAAGCAAAGCGTAGGGTCTCTGGTTGCATGGGATTTCACAGGCTTTGCAGAGGTGTTGTGTGAGCAGAATACCTAGCTGGTAGTAAGCAGCTTTGGAGTTTGCTCCTGCCATGGTGGCTGCCATGAAAACATCCCCTCAAGCCCATGAGGAGACTATCTGGGAACTCAAGAAGGCTAAGCCTTACGCTTCCTTCCCATAAGAAAGAAAGGAGCTCAAAACCCCAGTGAAAATCCAAGTTATGCCTCTCACATCAAACACATGGGGCGAGAGCCAGAGCCAGTTGCAGTTACTGGGATCTCGGTCACCCCTGGAGCCAGGGCTTCACTCCTTGGTAGGCTTCCTTACTGCAAAGGGACTCTTATACTTGCTCAAATGAGTGGCTCGCCCTTGCAATTTGCACAGTTACTGTCAAGGGAGCATGAGCTTTCATCTGAAACTCACCGGGAGCAGCAATTTCAAACAAAATTACTGCTTCAACTTTGCTCAAGTCAAGGAAAACACATTGCTGCCTGTGTGCCAGGACTGCAGCTGGGGTTTTCAGCCAGTTCAGCATGTAATGTAGGTGGGAAAGGCACAGGGAGCACCAAGAATTACGGGATTTTTTAAAATAAATCTTTAAAAGTTTGACTTTTAAAAATCCTGAGCATTAAGCAAGTAGTTGACAGGGTGCTGATGCCCCTGATGGTTGTATTTCTCTAGCAACTTGCAGTTCAGCAGCTGTCTTTTTTGTAAGTGAATGCCCTCCAGCAGCTATTATGACCTGAAGGGCAGATCTGGGCATTTTTTGTGTCAAATGATGGGTAGATTTAGTTTAATTAATAACACCATTACTTGAAGTGGAACAGTTTTATTGCTATTGAAACCATCTGTTCCCAACTTTCATATTTTAATGATTCATTGTGTGCTGTAGGGAGGGCATGAATTTAATTATCAGTGCATTGCTGTTTAACTTCCCTAATTATTATTTGGAGCCTTGGAATCACTTGAACTGTTTTTGCTGATCTCTTTGCATCACTGCCATTTACAAGCCTTTGGAAATCATTGTGAATATTCTGTGACGTTGGCTTAAAAGGGAAAGTAAACTAATTTGTGGTGTGCAATCTGGACTGCCATGTGTTTTACCTTCAACCAAATTTCCCTTGCTTTTGCCTCTCCCTGGTTATGCTGAGCAAGTGCCATCGGTGTAACCAGGAGGGTCCCCCTGTACCTCCTCCTGTGTCAGTACCATCGCCCCAATCTGTTTAAACTGGAAAAGTCAGGAAAAGGAGAGACAATCAAAATTTATCACTCACTAATCAGCCTGGGTTTTAATCATTTATCTTTTATTGTTTGATTTCCAGGGAGCCGAGAGAGTTTGAAAGGGACTCCAAGTGCCTCCCCTGCCACCCCGAGTGCCTGGTGCAAAACTCCACTGCGTACAACGCAACCTGCACCGGACCTGTAAGAGCAGATTCAGCTTAGCAAACCTGCACCTCTGACCGTGTATTAATAAGTATTTCCTGTGCTGAGATAATTCTGACGTCTCATTTACCCTTCTCTGGGATCAGGCAGAGTTGGGGGGGAGGTTAGAGGGCAAGATCTGGGGGCAGGGGAGCAGAAACAGGAGAGGGAACCTCAGGGTATTATTTCTCTTTTGTGTCACCCATCATACCTGTAATCCACAGATGTTGTAGGGCCTTTCTTTTTTGTGTCTTTTTAAAGAAGAAAAAGTATTACTTACTTACATGTGTGATGATATGGCAATTTGTTGAACATTTTGGGAACAGCCAAGTTGGCATGGACAAATTAAATTTCCTTATTCAGAGGGAAAGAACTGTTAAAAATAATGGATTAAAGCAGTAGCTTTTTTCCTCTTTAAAAAGCCATGATAAAATTGTGATTAAAATCAGGTATTTACTGGAAGATATTCAGGAAGCAGTGTTTACTTAGAATCATGTTCCATCCTCTAACTAGGCTACAGTAAATACCTGTGTTAAAGTAATTGCACAGGTAAATGACATTCAGAGAAAGGCAATAAAACTAAATGATTGGATTTTCAAACTTGTTTAAATATTCCAAATTCATACAAAAGCTCCTTTTCTACAGAAGTCAATACAGTGTACTCATGCTAGTCTTCCAGAGTCTTCCTCAATTTTGTTCTTTAAGAATGCTCTTTTGTGTTAGGAAACGTCCAGTTTGGCAGAGGTGCAAAATGATTTCCTTTTAATCAGATCAAATTCATATCTTAATCCTAAAACTCCCGTTCTCATTCGGTTTTGGTGATTGAAATCCTATTTCCTGCTACCGTCACGGAATCCCTTCTGCGCTACTTGACCCAACTCTTTTAAACAGCTTGCCACCCCCTGCAGCCACGGAGTGTTCGACCCTTGCTCATCATCTGTCTGAGAGTCACTGCTCAGTCATGTGAAATATTTCCATCCTCCCTTCCAGCTTAGACCACCATGGCCTAAGGGACGTTGTTAACATTATAAGCTCCTTCAGAGGGTGACCACCCCCTTGGTCCATATTTGCCCAGCATCTATTAATCACTCTATTAGCGTAGCCCTTAGACATTACAGTGATTACAATAATCTCCCCATAGCATGTCTTACTATAGTCCCACTGAAACCGGCGGGGGGGATCTGGTCTGTTTTTTCTCGTTAGTAGAATTTGACCCAGAATTGCTGGTTTCCTTGCTTTAAAATATTTAGGCCACTCCTCATGCTGCTATAAATAGAAATATAAATAATAATGCATAAAAACAGTTCTACCAAAAATGGCCAAAGGCAGTGCCTTGAAACACCAACTAAGTGCTTTTCGAAGTAAAAAAACCTCTTGGGTCGCCTCCATTATCCCCTGCTTCTGGCAAGCAGAGGAAAGGACCTGTGCTGAGAAACAGGAAAACAATGATTTGAGGCCAGTACTTCAGGGAGGTGTCAGCAGGTCCAGCTCCATCGTTTTAAATCGGGTGATGGTAGATTGCAGCAGGCGGCAGCCCAGCCCTCTGCTTTTGAGCTTACTCCTTATCCAGGTGTCATTAAATTATTCCCTACTTGAAATGAAAAACACAAACTTTCCAACCAGGCAGAAGGCAGAGAAAAAAAAGCAGCAATACTGAAACTCAGAAAAGTATTAGAGTTAAGCATCAGGTACTGCCTTTTTGTACAGCCCTACAAGAGCAAATACTTGTAAGAATATCCGGTAGCACAGTAGTAAAACCAGATGATGATGACAACTTCTATCAGTTGAAGGCATTTACATTTATCTTCTGCATTTCCTCCTGAATAGGCTGATGTAAGGGTGTTATAAAGAAGCTGTCTCTCTTTGCAGGGCCCTGACAACTGCATGAAGTGTGCCCATTTTATAGACGGCCCCCACTGCGTGAAATCCTGCCCGGCGGGGGTTCTGGGCGAGAACGACACCCTTGTCTGGAAATACGCCGATGGGAATGCTGTTTGCCAGCTCTGCCATCCAAACTGCACCCGGGGGTGAGTAAAACCTCAGGCTGAACGGAAACAGGGGTGGGGGAAACAGGGAATTCCCTTCCTGATGGTCCCATGTCAAACCAGTGGGAAGAAGAAATAGCAGGGAGCGAGAGGTCAGGAGTACATGAGTAATGTAAGCAGAGCGTGGCGGACTTTGTAAATAGGAAAAGTTCCGTGGCATTTCTTCTTTACACAAAAAAAATAGAGGACAAAATGTTTCAAGGGGTTTAAAACAGGTTTGTTTGTTGATTTAAATAGGAAACTTCCTGGAATTTTACAGAACTCACCCCCCCAGTGATGCACTTCCTGGTTTTTTCCCACCTGGCTTAGTGTTGGGTCCTCTGGTTTTTGGGAGGAACATCAGTGACATCTGGTGGATGCTGGGCTCCCGGGGCCCATTTTTCTCTGCACTTTTCATTTTTTAGGAGGGAAAATCCTAGTGAGGTACCAGAGTGATTTTCTTTCTTTCCTTCTTT